TAAATATGTTGCCATTGTCGTTTTTAAAACATTATCTTTCTCCTTGAGCCCTTATTATCAGCTACTAATAACAGTTTTAATTCACGATTCAACTCTACGAATGTGTGAGAGGACTTCAAAGTGTTTGCGGAAGATTCCATTTTCTTTTAATTTCCTTTTCCCATGGTTTTGGTTGACCCTTTGTGTTATCGATTGTCTCATATCACTCTCCCTCAGACGATTCGCTTGCACGAGGCTCCTTTCTGTTACTTGAACACACAAAGATTCTACCCAGGGTTCCTGAATCTATCTGTTTTCTTCAATGCCTTTTCTGCATCTTTCCCACGAGGTTATCCTCTGTGCCTCACTCCGAGACCCAGTCTGTGTCCTGGAGAGGCCCTACACGTGTGTACAGCCTGTCCGTGTACAAATACTCTGTTAGGTCCCCTTGTAGTTCCATTCATGGCACGTAGCACAACTGGAAATGATCTAGCTTATTTCTTTGCTTGCCTCTTAACGATTTCCCTTTAGATGGCAGATTCTATGCACATCAGCATCTCATTTCGCTTGCTTCCTTGTGGATCTCCACCAGACGGCACTGTGCCTAACCTAATCAATAGTCATTTTATGATGAATACATGAGTAATAAACTATAGACCAATGACAAAAAATGGTTTTTTGTTAGTTTTTTTTGACAAAAATGTTTTTAACCCTAGAGTTCCCACTGTTTTTAAAGGATAAGAGGCTCAAGTTTGAGGAAATGACTTGATTTAAAGAACCACCTTTGAAAAAAATCAGAATGCATGTATGTGAAGGCTTTGAAAATCCATGGGATATATTCAGAAATTACTTTTGAACCTGAGCACTGAGGACTCGTAGCTAAAACCCAAGCAATTTCAGGGGATAAACTTGAAGCATGACTCTGCAGCACCTCACAGCAAGAGTACAGCCAATATCATCACCTTCCTTTTCTTTTACTGTCTGAATCTTTGATAGTAAAATTTTAATTTAAAAAGCCTCATAGTATCTCATCGTACCCAAAGGCAAAAGTGGGCCTCAGGAGGGTTTGATGGAGCCTCAGGGGGTAGGAACTAGGAGCTGCAAAGTTCTGAGGCTCTTTGGCAGCTTCTCTGTATCTGCTTTACCCTGGGTACACATGGTGCTCTAGATCTACGAAGCCAAAGCAGAAGATAGCCCATGGCTTGTGAGTTCACTGTTCCTCTCAAGAGCTCTGTCTTATTTCTAGGTCGAGAATCTGATTAGATTCTGATCAGGTTGGACAGCTTAGAGCTGGTGCCAGAAGGACAAGGTTACAAAGTACAAACACGTGACTTGAATTTATTTCAGCGGGGGAGAAAATTTTTAAGGAAACCATTCGTGGCCTAGGTGAACTCACAAAGATATTCATTACTAAATATACATGAATTGATTAACTTGGAATGATGTATCTGATATGTTACTTCATTATAAAAGTATATTATAAAACTTCCTGGATAACAGGATCACCGTTTTAATAAAAATGTACCTGTAAGTTTGTATATACATTTTAAAAAGTGGAAGTGCAGATACCAGATATCTCTGTGTGGTAGTATACCTTTGGTGTAAATTTGATATGTATATGAGCATATGTATTCTTTTAATCTATTGTTATGAATAATTTTAAACAAACTACAATAGTGTGAAGAACTAAGCACCCATTTTCTAGCTCAGAGGTCAGTTCACTGTGGTTCTCAAGCCAGATGGGACTCTTTTGATACTTATATGTGGCTTTGAAGAAAAATTGAAAGTGAAACAAATTATTCAGATAATGTTGATTTCATTTGTTTATAAAAATATATTATGGCTCTCAAATAATTTTTAAATTGTTGTGAGGGAAAGAATTGGACCTTCCATCTCAAAAGTTGCTGAGCCCTGATCTAGATTATTAAAACACAGCCAATATTATTACCTTCCTTTTCTTTTACTGTCTGAATATTTTATAATAAATTTATAATTAAAAAATTAAACTAAAACCTTTTGAGAAAAGAATAGGTAGTAATTAGAACATCTGGTTAACAATTTAAGAAAATAATATAGTTAAATGTATGCTTCATACTTATACTCAAATAAATGTCAGATGTATTTGAGATTCAGCTAATTTTTAAAAAGTAAACAATGAGTGGCCTGTGAAAATACAGGCAAATATATTTGGAATAATAAAGGTTGGTGAGTTTCAGAGAAATACAGTAACAAAACTATACAGAGACCTCACCATATATAGAAACAAAAAACAAATGATAAGCTGGGGGTGGGGATAGGATGGTAGAAATGCATTCAGAAACAAATGAGCAAAAGACGAAGATCTCCAAGAGAGCTAGACAAAGAATATGAATAGGCAAGAAATTAAAACAGCCAATAAAGATAGAAGAAAAATTACTCTTACTAGTAACTGAAAACATAGAAATCAAACTAATAGATGATAAATGGGTCTTCTCCCAAGATAAATGGGTTTTCTCCAAGGTCACTACCTAAGGTCTTGTAGACTATTGGAACTGTAATTTAGCAGAACCTGTCTTGAGAAGGAAGCTCCAGGAGAAAGGTGAGGTTGTCTTCTTCCATAAAGGCTTACATAAAAGGTTACTGTGAGTTGCAGTTGACTCAAAGGCAGTGGGTTTGATTTGGGTTTTATCTTGAGAGGAGGCTCTCTGCTCCCATCGAGATTGACAGTCCCAGACGTCCTGGAACACAACAGTTCTACTCTGTTCTGAGTAGACTTGCTGTTAATAAGCATTAACTGGATGTCAGTGAGTTTGTTAGCTTTTTGTTTTATGTTGAGGACAATTGACAATACTCGTGGAAAGCCTATTCTTTGGCCTTCAAATTACATGCCTAGCAATTTATCATGACTCCGCATAAATAGTTAAAAATGAGTTCATTACTGTACTTTTTATAATAATAAAATAACCAAAATATCCCCAAATAGAGGGTTGTTATAATAGTTTTTAAAGATTTTGGTTTAACTGTATAATGGCTAATTACATAGAATTTAAAAATAACAGTCCAGTACTTAATGGCATATAAAATATATTTTATATATGAAGTGAAAATCAAACAAAACATTTAAATCTTAATAATTGGATGCCTACTGAGACGTTAACTGTGCTTATTTAGGGGTGATGAGATAGCGGATGTTATTTAGTAATATGTGGCTTAAAACAAGAAAGTGATTTTTTAAATTTTAAGTAGTGAATGGTTTAAAAAACAGTATTTATGCATTTGAGTTCTAATGATGCTTTTTCTTTTTAGATTTGAATTATTGAGATAATTACAAATAGGTGTGACCTATCTTAATTTCTCCAAACATTAAGTAAATGAGAAAACTGAGATGATGAAATATCAACAAAGTGTTGAATATGGTGGAATTATGTTTATTTCATTGTCCTTATTTTTTATTCATCTTTGTAGATATTAAAAACAAAAATTTGCTATTCTATAAAGCACAGTTGACTATGATAAATTACAGTATCATATTTTCACTCACGCAATGTGTGCATTATAAGGTTTTTGTAAACCATGAAACTCCCTCATTCCTGTATGCATCTACGTGGAAATACAGTTCGTCCCTGGATAGCAAACTTCTGGTGTAGACAATGTGTACTTGCCCTTTACTGTTGTGTAAACTTTCCTTAACTCTGAAATGGTTGAATTAACCTCTACTCACAACAAATTCTTCGTCACATTCATTTTCACTTGCTGCGACACACGCAGCATTGAAGTCATTGAAAAGTTTAAACCTTTACTTACAGCAAATAAGAACACACTTGTTCCAACTTACCTGCAAATTAGACTTAAAGACACATTTAGGAAAGATCTCCTTTGTAACCTGAGGGCTGCCGGTGTAAATATGTAGGAGACCAGGAAGTCCTTAAAATGTTTTCATTAAAATTATCCCTAGCCTTCTTATCTTGTAGCCTGAATGTAGATTCAGTATCTTTTGTATAGTCAGTCACAAATACCTTAGTGATAAAAGTTGTATTTAACTGATTTAGTTAGACCAACCTCTTAAATCTGATTCTTAGATTCCACTAGTTCCCATTTTGTGACTCTTTGTTTTTATTTCTTTGCTTAAGATTATATCTGGGAATTTAAATACCTTTTTGTTCAACGCAATTGCATATCCGGAAACTTAGAATTGCATACAACGCCTTGGTCATCCTATGAGTGCCTGTTTGATGATGAGATACGGGCAATTGAATTTAAAGCAAAATTTCAAAAAAGTTTGCCATCCTTGGTGAAGATATCAGACTTGGCAACACACCTAGCGGACAAGTGTTCAGGTAAGATCTTTATAAACGTCAATATTGCTCATTTTAGCCGAAGCAAAAGTGCTACTGTTCATAGGAAAAATATTTAACAGAATGTTAAAGGAAAAGATAGATCTTTGCAAATAGCTGAACCTTAAACAGCATTTCAAGCTACAGTGGGACTTGTCAAATGCCAGTAGTTCGTCAAAGTCAGGGAGTGTCAGTTTTGAAAGCAAAAGGCAGGATTTTTTAAAAAAATCATTTTATTGGGACCTCTTACAGTTCTTACCACAATCCATCCATTCATCCATGTGTCAAGCCCATTTGTACATAAGTTGCCAACTTCATTTACAAAACATTTTCTTTCTACTTAAGCCCTTGATATAGACATTTCATTTTCTACACGTGGTCCAGGGTCCTTGGTGGTGCAGTGGGCTAGGCATAGCGTTACTGAATGCAGGATGAGCTGTTCAAACTCAACGGCCAGTCTGAGGAAAAGGATGAGGCTGTCTACTGCCATAAAGATACATACCTCTCAGAAACTTGAACAGAGCATGTCTACTCCGCCCTACAGGATGGCATGAACTGGAATCAACTCAGTGGCAGTGGCTAGGTGCTCGATGTCTTCTGTTCTACTTGCTGGACCCTCAGATCCTTCTAGAAGGCTCTGTCAAGGCCTAGTCTGTAGAATTCTGAATACTCTCATTTCCAACACTTGTTTGTCAGTTTTTGTTTTTAATCATTTTATTGGGGGCTCATACAACTCTAATCACAATCCATACCTACATCCATTGTGTCGAGCACATTTGTACATTTGTGGCCTTCATCATTCTCAAAACATTTTCTTTCTACTTGAGTCGTTGATATCAGCTCCTCATTTTTACCCTCTCTCCCCCACCCTCCATCCCTCATGAACCCTTGATAATTTATAAATTATTATTATTTTTTCAAGGATTACATTGTCTAGTTTCTCCCTTCACCCACTTTTCTGTTGTCCATCCCTCAGGGAGGGGATTATATATTGATCATTGTGATTGGTTCCCCTTTTCCCCCCACCTTCCCCCTCCCCTCCTGGTATCGCTACTTTCCTTATTGGACCTGAGGGGCTTATCTGTCCTGGATTCCCTATGTTTCCAGCTCGTATCTGTGCCAATGTACATCCTCTGACCTAGCCAGATTTGTACGGTAGAATTGGAATCATGATAGTTGGGTGGGGGTGGGGGGAGAAAGCATTAAAAAATTAGAGAAAAGCTGTATGTATCATCGTTGCTACACCGCACCCTGGCTGGCGCTACACTGCACCCTGACTGGCTCGTCTCCTCCCTGCGCCCCTTCTGTAAGGGGATGTCCAGTTGCCTACAAATGGGCTTTGGGTCTCCACTCCACACTCCTCCTCATTTACAAT